TGGCGAAACGTTAGGAAACAAAACTTCCAGAACACGGCCACACAGCCCGGAAGACCCATACTAGCCATCGTATTTCAGCCATGAAAGCCTTCAACAAATCTATTTGATATTTGCCTACCCAAATCCAATATTGGTCCGAGATCCAAACCAACAGAGCTATTTCATATTAATCTATTTGTTCATTTTCATAGGATCTCTGTAACAATTCTTACCAACAAAAAATCTGTTATTTTTAACATGGCACTTTTTGGAAGAATTTGTTTTCAAAAAAAGGTTCCATAGCAGATCATGCCCCAAATTATTATATATTTGCTTTGCAAATGAGAAAGAAAAAAAATGTTTTTAAATTGGCTAAAAAAGGAAGCAAAGTCATTCATGCCGGCTTTTCTGACAATCTACAAAGAATTTAAACCTTTTTTAATGCAAGTTGAGAAACTGAATGCTTCATCAGGGGCCTTAGCAACCATCTTGTCAACAAGCAGATTACAAGCGCTCTGCTAATATATGGTTGTTTGCCAGAAAACAAAACATTTCAATTTTGAGAAGGCTGGATCTCCTGAGATTTCACTGTTCTTCAAAAGGATTTCAATCCATCAAAACATTCTTGTCTGAAAATCCTCCTCAGGTGTACTTTTATTTTGCAAAACTGCTCTCTAAAAGCATTACTTCATTTGTAAATGTTTATTTAAATTGTTAAAACTCAGCAGTAGTTTTAAATGTTATTTTAAAAGGAGCCATTTCAAAGTATTACTTGAATCACACCAAACGCAATTAAGAAGCAGTTTACATGCCTATATTTGTCATTTCCTGAACTGTAGCACTAAGTGATAAACAGATGTGTGAATATCTGCTAAAAGTGAACCACAAGAGATACAAGTGCAAATGTCAATTCAAAAACACCTTTCAACAGAAACAGTTCATACATTTGATTGAAGGCTTCACTTGATTTCTAACATGCACGCACCAATGAATCTTCCATGTATGAGATAACATTTCTATTACCTTAGGGATCTTAATATTAAATGACACTTTGAAGTGTCAAATATATTTTTATATATCCATATTTAAAACACTGATGTTTAAAAGGACATAACTTCTGCTTCTGAATGAAGCCACTTTGAATATGCTAATATTCAAGCTTTACTGAACACCGTGGGACTTTATCTGAGTAAATGTAAGCAATTGCCTAAACTCAACCATTATACAACACAATGGGCTTAAGTGATTAAATACCAGATGAAGCATTAAAATGTTTTGATTTCTAGTTTAAGATTCTTTACTAAAATATGGATCCTGTAAGATTTCACAAAATGGAGACTGATGTGTCTTTGCTACATAAAATGAATAGTCATTAAACTGCAAGGACAAGAAGGTGAATACATACAGTTAAGGGTTCTCCTTGAAGAGCTTGCAAGATAAAGTTACTAACAACTCTGCCGTCGTTCATGTGCATCCGGGGGCCAAACGTATTGAAGATTCGGGCAACTCTTACTTCCACACCTTCCTGAAAGCACAAGAAAAACAGCATCTTGTAAAAATTCTATTAAAAATGTTCATGCTGGGTTCTAATATTTTTGGTATTATGCCAGAATAAGACATACACACAAACATGTACCACTTTAATTATTTCATATGCTGCAGCTCAATGATCATATCACCTCATAATGTGATATTGGCATCCTTCAAATATCTGCTACAACATCTCCCATAATCCCAGCCAGACTCTAAAAAGGGTTAGCAATAATAAGAGTTGTAGTCCAGCCTATCTAGATGCCACAAGCAGTGGTTGGCAGCACTGTTGTTCAGAGAACTATTTCTGAGAGATTTCTCTTCAGAGGGTCAATGTAATGTTCTGTCAAGAATATTCCTAATTAAACTAAATCAATTTTTTGTTAGACTGTTTGGGACATGAAGCACTTCAAACTAGTAAACAAAACAGATACTCTAGAGGCTGCCATGAATGTTTACAGATCTTGACAACCACAGCAAATGTTGCCCAACATGTCCCAATTATTTGTTCTCTTCATAATATTTCTAGAAGAAACGTCAGAAAGTATTAAAGTTTACATTGCCTCTTACAGTGTTTGTACAGTCAGTCTGCCTTCTTAGTAGCATAGCAACTGCAGATTAGAAAGTGGATTCTACCATACAGGATGAAATATAAACAACTCTTTAACTAGTTTATTCTTACTTTCACAAGAACCTTGTTCCTACCCAAATAGAAACTCTACTACAGTGTTTCTCAACCTCAGCAACGTTAAGAGGTGTGGACTTCAACTCACAGAATTCCACAGCCAGCTTATGTTGCTGGAGAAGGCCCTGGATGCTTAGGAAAATCAAAGGCAATTTAAAAAGAGGCCGAGGGGAGGCAAAGTATCTAGATGTTATTGCATCTAGCATCTGATAGCACAGGTTTACAAGAACTCAAGAAGCAGTCACTGAAAGAATGGTATACATCAGGTCACAAACAATTGACTGTGACTGAATAACCAAACAAGAAACAAAAGAACAGAAAGCCAGTGGTGAAAAACAAGATTTTTATATTAACATATATGAAAGGGAAGATGGGACAAATAGAAAGACTGAATCACCCATCTCACATCTGAGAGATCTTGCATTTCTCTGCAACTGCCTTAGTATTACGCTCATTTCTGAAATTCTGGACCTTACTGTTATGACTGAGAGTCAGTTTGTGTAGTGGTTAGGGCAGCAGGCTAGAATCCAGAAGACTGTGAGTTCTAGTCCCACCTTAGAGACAAAGCCAGCTGGGTGACCTTGGGCCAGTCCCTCTCTCTCAGCCCTGGGAAGGAGGCAATGGCAAACCACTTCTGAAAAACCTTGCCAAGAAAACTGCAGGGACTAATCCTGGCTGTTGCTAGGAGTCAACACTAACTTGAAGGCACACTCTCACACACACGCAAAGTTATTACTGTGCAAATCTTGCCCTCAATACCTGCTTCATATAGGCATAGCACATAGTTTCAGCAACTCGCTTTCCTTCATCATAACATGCTCTTGGTCCTATAGGATTCACATGACCCCAGTAATCTTCATTTTGTGGGTGAACTTCAGGATCTTGAAGGAAAAAAAGGGGCTTTCAATTATCCAATAACATATAACAATATTAATATTAATTACTTTTGACAGAACACAATTTTCTAACCTTAACCTCTAGATGTGTTGGGAGTATGACTGTCCCAGGCTTACAATTCAGCACAGTTTTTAGCCATGCTATGTAGGAATTAACCAATTGCAGTCCCAACATAGCCAGAGAGGAAAGAAGGCTGCTATATAGAATGGTGGACAGCAGAGCTCAGCAAAATGTTTCCTGAATTTGCTTCCTGCCTTGGAAAAGTCATTTTCTTATCTTTCTGGGGCCATCTGCACAATTTCCTTGTGATACCTGCAGTTTCAGTGCAAATTTTGGGGAGTTCATTTGTTCTTAAGTGATCCTAGCCAATCAAGGCTTGTATATATGGGCTATTAAAAAGTTTAATTAAGAACAAACAAAACCCAATTAGAAAAAGGCCAGTGTGCTGATTATATAGCTCAATCAAAGCCGGTTAAAAATTACTATTGAGCACCAGCATTTTCTACAAAACAGTTTGCAGCTTCAGGACTTTCGATTAAAAAAAAAAAGGAGAGAGAATTGCCTCAATTAATATAAAATAGAAAAAGAGCTATACCTAAAACAGCTAATATTTCTTCCCATTTCTACTTAGGTTTTTTTTCCTGGCAACTATGAAAAGCAACTGGAATGCTTTCTTATGAGCCACAGTATCATTTGATAAGAAATTAATTCATTTAGAGTTGACTTTAAAAAAAAATTGGTTTGATAATGGGACATAAGCTCTAAAATGCTTTACTGCTGGTTACTCAATACAGAAAGGATAAACAAACACACCCAGCAATACAAACGGTCCTTTAATTACCTGCAGTGTTGCAAGAACAAATTGTTCATACACACCATGGTGATAATGTATGGGTTTTTAAATATTTTTAAATATTTTTATTATTCTTAAATTTTAGTTTTTCTATTATTTTGGTGTTTTTATATTGTTTTTAATGGTTTCTGAGTCCCTCAGCCATATATTTGAGATGGACGGCTATATAAATTGAATACATAAATAAATTCATATTAGATAGTCCAAATATTCTGTGCTGTTCACAAACTGTTCAATAGTCACATCACAGATATGGCTTAAACTGTACATTTTAAAACACTGAAAATCTGAACTAATTTGTTTCCACCAATAAAAATCCAAAAAGAAATCAACTCCATTAGGAAGAATGAAGGTTTGACTGTACTGTATGCCTAAATCATGGCTTAGCAAGTGAACTTCTTCAGAAGTATTGGATTACAATTCCTAAAGGCCCCAGTTAAGATGGCCAGCAGTCAGGGAATGTCAAAATTGTAATCTGAACATCTTAATGGCATTAAGATGCCAAACTCTGAACCAAGCAATATGCCAAGTTGAATGTAATCAAATTATAGTAACAGATGATTAAAGAGTAGAGCAGTGTAACAGAAAATATGGAGGATTCATCAGTCTATGCTTCATCACTATACAGCCATTACATCTATGGAATTATATGGTAATACTTTAAAGAGGAGACAAGTGAGGTGGGGGAAAGAATGTAACTCGATAACGTCTTCCCAGATCAGGCTTCTTACCTCCATACACTTCAGAGGTGGATGCAAGGAGAAGACGGGCTCCAACACGTTTTGCTAAGCCTTAAAAAAAATAGGACATTTTTTTAAAAGAAGCAGACGTGTCCTTATTTTACTTCAACCAACCCTGAAGTAAAATATTACAGATCAACATTTCTTTCAGTATTGAGCTTCAGAACAAATGCTGACTTATGATTCAAAAAGCATTTAATTGTGTCAAGAAAATCTGTACTAGTTTTAGGAGTTCTGGAAGAGCATGTAGCCAGATTGTGTATTAGCTTCTTAAAACTCACAGATTTACCTTAGCATAAGCTTAGTGGACTGGAGTTTACTTCAGTGCATGCATTTGTTTTTGCCATGAAGACCACTATAGTATTAGACAGGTGGTTAAAAGTGATTTATAATCTGGAGTCCATTGTTATTTGTGGCTGATGCCACAAATCTTCTGTCCTTTTGGTTTTAGTCTCTATGGAAGGTCTACAAACCAAAATGTAACTGAATGATTGAATGATCTGCAGTGAACATGAAAAGTTTACAGTGGTACCTCGGGATACGAACGCCTCTGCTTGCGAATTTTTCGGGTTACGCCCAGCTCTGGCCCCAAAATTTTACCTCGTTTTGCGAACTCCGCCTCGGGGTACGAGCCATTTTCCGCCCGTGCCACGTGGTCCGCGGCCATTTTCTGCGGCCCTGCCGCGTGGTCCGCAGCTGTTTTCGCGCCGCGCCGGGCTGTTTTCGCGCCGCGCCGG